GGAAAACATGACATTTTGGGGGGGGGGGCATTTGACATGCTGCGCAACAGGAGACTTACTCGCAAGAGTAAAAGTCGCCATCGGTCGAGCTGCTGCCGTTGACAGAGGCATCAAACTCGTAGGGCGCGGTAGCAAAGCCGCTGCTGGTGCCGGTGTCCGACTCGGATCCTGGGCTGGATGCCGATCGAGAGCCGAGCGGAGCAGGGAGAGACGCAAAATCGTGAGGAGCGAGAGTGGAGGTGGCGGTAGCAGTAGCAGTAGCAGTAGCAGTGGTGGTGGCTGGAGCAGAGCCGCGGGCGAGAGACCGCGGTCGACGCCGCCGCTTGCGCCCAGACTTGGGCTGGGACGGACGATCGCGGCGGCGCCAGTCGCTGGAGCCGTCAGCGCGCGAGGCTTGTGCGGACGCGGGCGACCTAGGGGAGAGGCTGTTGGCCGAGGGACGTGGGCGTGGCGCACGATGGTAGTCGCGATCAAGCGACTCGTGAAGGGCGAGGAGGAGCCAGTCGTGGATCTCGTTTCGGGAGAGCGGAAAGCCGATGTGGGCAAAGAGCGACTCAAAGTCGGGAATGGCGCGAATGCGCTCGCACTCGAGGCGCAACGCTTCGCGGGCGCCCTCGGGCGGGCGGCCGAGGAGGGCATCGTAGTCGCGGGCGGTAGCGGCGCGGTCGACCGACGACGCAAAGGTCTTGGAAAAGTAGACGTGGAAGCAGAGGTGACGGAGCGAGACGGCGTTGGCGTCAAAGGTGAGGGCGAGGCGGTCAAAGGGCTCGCCGCGGGCGTCGTGATCATCAGCGTACGCCAGCTGCGGGTACTTGGAGACGGCCCAGAAGACGTTGCGAACCAGTGACTCGCCGACATACTCTTCGCGGATGTCGTCAAAGGCGTGGTCGGTGATGGTGAGGAGCGGAATGAAGTAGCCGAGCGACGGAACAACTGCCTTGGTCCGCGACTCTGGCTTGAGCTTAAAGGCGGCAATGAGCTTCGACGCCGCCTCGCTCAGCTCGGGGTACTCGGCCGCAAAGTAGATCATCCACCGGTGAAAGATACAGTAGCCCTCGAGCCGGCGCCACGACATGACCTCGTCACTCGACATGACGCTGACCACGGTGGTGTCCATCAGCGCCGGCAAGACGTCGAGCGCCATCGGCGGCTGGAACGCCGGTATGTGTTCGGGCCGTGGTTTGCACATCCGCGCCATCGACGTCCGCACAATGTCGTACGCCCGTCCGCCGTGGTCGCTGTTGATATACATCGGCATAAAGTGGGAAAACGCCCGCTTGGTCACCGGCGTCGTGCGGACGCCATCGGCCGAGAACGCGGCCCACGACAAAATGTCGAGCTCGGTGTGGATGCGCTTGATGGGCGAGCGCCTCCGGCCGCGCCGGCGCGAAGCCTTGGAGTAGTACTCGACTGAGACTCCGTAGCCGAGCACCGCGTCGCGGTAGGTGGCCTTGGAGAAGAAACACCGCGAGTTGAGCCGGAGCCGATGCAAATCCGACGAGAGCAGCCGCTGCGCAAGGTCCGACCCTGCACTTGCGGCCAAGTTGCCGCCCAGGGCGGGGATGGGTGGATGCGGCGCGCCGGGCGCGTGGCCGCACGAGAGGCAAGTATGTGCAGCGGCTTCCTCCCGCATCCGGCGCAGCTGGCTCTTGGAGACGGCAAAGGAGACGGTGCCGCCCGACGGACCGACATCGTCGGAAGACTTGTCAGCGACAGCAATGCGGACGCCATCGGTGAGGAACGACTGCAGCTGCATGAGGATGGTGAAGACCGAGTAGCCGGAGGACCAGCCAGAGTAGGCTTTGTCCGAGAGGCGGAGAAAGTCGGCACAGACGTAGTCATCGACAACATTGGGATGGAGGACGTAGGTGGCGAGGTTGATGCGCGGCGGCGATGCAGGAAAGTCGGTGGAGAAGGAGAGAACGAGATGGAGAACAATGCCGGCGTACGGTCCGTCCGCCGCCACCACGTTGCCGTGCCACACCAGCATGTCCGACTCGAGCGGAGCCGCCGAGATGTAGTGCAACTCGCTGGCGGCCAGCACTTCTTCGTAGTTGGCCGCAAGCCGTTGTACAGCCCGCTCGAGTGTGCCAGCAGCCATTGCTCGAGACGGGTGTGGCGCGTTGGTGGTGGGAGGGGAGGGGGGGGTGGAGGGGGGGGAGATGGGATCAAGAGAGGGTATTAGGGGATCAGATCGGTGTTATGCAGTGGCGGGGGTAGCGGGATGGTGGGGCGGTGGGGTGGCGGGTGGCGGGAGGAGGAGGAGGGAGGGGGAGGGGGGATCACGGCGTGGGACTTGGGCCTGAGCTCGGGGTGGCGTCTGGAGCAAGAGAGGGGAAGAACGAGAACGCCATCATGCGGAGACGGTCAAAGAGGGCCGAGGGGGTGTCAAGGGCAGGCCGGACGTCGAGGTAGATGGCCGGGAGATTGGTGCCGGGCAGCGGACGGCCGGGGTAAAAGTCGATGATGTAGCGGACCTCGGTTCCGCAGCGGTCGACGATCCAGTCATGGCGGTCAAAGGGCTTCTTGTAGCCAATGAGGGCGTTGAGACGGGCTTTAGGCGACCAGTCGTCGTCCGAGCCAAAGACCCGGAAGAACCGTTTGAGCTTGGGCTCGCAGCACTCGGCCACGTGCAGGCGCTCGTACTCGAGTACCCGCCTCCAGGTCAGCTCGTTCATCGAGTTGTGGATGGAGACAACCGCAGCCATGTCATCCTCGGACGGCTCCCAGCCTTTGCGGCGCATGGCATTGTAGAACCGTGCCGGCGAGGGGAAGGTCCACGTCGGATCGTCGTCGCCGTCGCCGCGCGGGATGGTCGACGCCACAGCGACGTTGGAGAGCCCGGCAGGCGCCTCGTCTGTATCGGTGAGGAACGGGCCCTCATCGTCGGGCGACGGCGGCCACGGTGCCTTGCGGAGGCCTTCGGTCACCGTCTCGGCCCGCGAGATCTCCTCGGCATCGGCCTCCAGCTCGGCGCCGGTCACCGGGCAGATCTTGCCCGAGCCCCCATCGCCACCAGCAGCTACCTGCGGCTTTCCGACTTGACCCTCTGCCGTGGTTGTCGCTCCTCCCTTGCCACCACTCTGCTCTTCACGCTGCTTCTTTCCCATCACCGGACAGGCATCGATGTCCAGCTCGGCACCGCCGTGTCCCTCGTCCGGGCTGCGGTCAGCTGACGCGTAGAACGGGTTGGTTGCCATGATGATGCCGGAGAATGTGACACCGCACAGAGATGGGTAGATGGGTGAGAAGATGGGATGGGGTGGAAGAGTGGGTGAGGGGGTGGGGTGGTGAGGGTGGGCGTGTGCGCGTGGGCGGTGGGGGGGGGGGGGGGGGGGGGACGAGAGGAGAGCGAGGGAGCGACGGCCGGGATCGGTCGGGATCGGGTGGGCGATTGGAGGCGGCGGCAATGGCAATGCTGCGTGGACAGAGGATGCGTAGAACCACCACCATCACCATGCAATCCATCATCGTCACCATCATCACCATCACCACCACCATGCCCTGCCCATCGCCATCGCCATCCCCCCCCCCCATCACCATCACCATCACCATGCCCATCACCACCACCATGCCCAGCCCATCGCCATCGCCATCCCCCCCATCCCCATCACCCCATCACCGTCCCCATCCACATCCCCCCATCCCCATCCCTCATCACCCCCATCACCACCCCCATCCCCATCCCCATCAGTAACCCCATCAACATCAACATCCCCCCATCAACATCCTCATCACCATAACGACCGATCTCGATCACCCCTCTCCCCACCCCCCTCCCCCCCCCCCTCCCGTCCCCCCCCCCAAAATCCACACCCCACGCCCTCATGGACTCAGCCTGGCCATGGCTCCATTGGGGCTACCTCTGCATGTGGACAGGTGCACTGGCAGTCACCTACCACCCCCCTCTCCATGGCAAATGGGTCTTCCTCGCCTTTCGGGTCGCCCTCGCTGTCTCGGAGCTCGCCCCGCACCTCGCTGCTCTCCACGCGCTCATCGGCTGGGCGCTCTGGCTCTACTCGCCGCTGACGGCAACCGGGCTTGGACGAATAGGGCTGGTAGCTCACGGTTTTGTGGCTGCTGCGCTGCTGCGATGTGTTGTTCTCTCGTCGTATGCCAAGCGGGCGGTTGATCGGTGCTCGGAGGCGAGCTCGCCGAGCGTACGCGCCGCACTGCCGACGCCGTCGCTGCTCTCAGCCAAGCTCCTGACCTATGCCGCTCTGCCGTTCCCGCTTGTCGCCTCGGGTGTCGACGTCGTGCGCAACATCCACTACGCAACCCTCGACGAAGTCCGCAACACCCCGCCGCGATACAAGCCGTACAAGAAGCTCGATGTCTACACCGCGGCCAGCGCCCCGCATCCGGCGGCCGTCCTCGATCCGGCCGTCGCGGCAAACGCCCCACGCCCGGTTGTCCTCTATGTCCACGGCGGGGGCTGGCACTCGGGCTCCAAGGACATCCACGGCGCGACGCTGTGCTCGAGCCTGGCGCTCGCCGGCTTTGTCGCCGTCAACGCCAACTACGCCATGCACTCAGCGCCCACTCTCCACGACGGCCTCGCCTTCCCAGCCCAGCTCATCGACGTCAAGCGCGCTCTCCGCTGGATCAAGGACAACATCGCGGGCCACGGTGGCGACCCAGACTTTGTGGTCGTCATCGGCGGCTCGGCTGGCGGCCACCTGGCCGCAGAGCTCGCCCTCACTCCGCACCGCAAGGACCTGCAGCCTGGCTTTGAGGGCTATGACCTGCGCGTTCAGGGCTTTGTCTCGTACTACGGCGTCCTTGATGTCTCCAACGCCTCTGGCCTCATCAACAAGGGCTTCTACCTCTTCTGCAAGTACACCCTCATGCGGGTCTCCAAGGCCGACGCGCCCGAGCTGTGGGACCTCGCCTCGCCGTACTGCCAGATCACCGCAGCAGCGCCGCCAGGCCTTCTCATTCACGGCGACAGCGACAACCTTGTCGAGCTTCCGTTCTCCGAACTCTTTGCTGCTCGCTACGCCCAGGTCACCGGAAAACCGTGTCCGCTCATTGTCCTCCCGGGCGCCGCCCACGCCTTTGACGTCTTTGCCACCATCCGCACCTTTTATGCCTCTCACGCAGTCCACCGCTTTATCCTCTCGCTTTGGGAGAGCTCGATGTCACCGGCGTCCTCTCCTTCGGCCATCCCGCCGCCAAGCCATACGCCAGGCACCCCATCCGGTGCTCACCACCCGACCCATTGCTCGCCCACCTCGCCCGCCGCCCGCACCCTCCGGCCCATGCAATGAACGCCACCCAATCCACCTGCACACCTACCACACTGCTAGCTATCCAACTAGCCACACACACACCATGATCGAGCAGCTGCTGCAGCCCATACCCGATCATCCATCCATCGTCCCATAGTTTCACACCAGCTTCCCCGCGCGACGACAACCACACCACCCGCACCACGGTCGCCTTCGGTTCGCACCCTACCTCCTTCCGCCCGAACAACACCACACACACACACACACACACACACACACACCTCACCCACCACCACCACCACTATCCCCCACCCACACACACACACATACACACACATATTCATACCCTTCACCCATGCTTGCACCCACCGGTCAACCGGGGCAACGACGGCGGCGGCGACGGCCCGAAGTGGTCCGGGCGGCGCGTGGCGAAGGCATTCCTCCTGGCGTCCTTCTCACGGTGGCCTGTTTGTATCTGTGTGCTGGTGTCCTCGTCCTGGGTGTCATCACCCTCTCGCTCCTCCTCTTCCCGCTCCTGCTTGCTCTCAAGGTCGATGGCTTGCTCTCGTGGCCCTGGCCTACTGTCTTCCTCCCGGCGCTCGCCATGACCTGCATGTGCACCTGCCGAGGCATTCGCATCAGAGGCGTCTTCCGCTCTGATCTGACGGCGATGCATGCGCTGGCTTTTGCTGCTGCTTTTTGGCTGAGCTCGGCGTCCTCGTCCGTGTCTCGGGCGCGGTCTCTGCCTCGCTCGTGCTGCTGCTGGCGCTCCCGGCCGCCATCGCCACTGCTGCCGCAACCTCGTACTCGTACCGCTACTACTCGGGATGGAACCTGGTCTCGGCAACGTCGGCGGCCATGGCTCTCTTTGCCTGGGTTGCATCGCTTCTTGTTGCGCTGCGGGTCGACGGCGCCTCGCACCTCGCCTGGGCCGCCCCGGCGCTCGCCCTCGCCTACATCCCGGTGACACTGCTTGTCATCTGGCCGCTCCAGTGGCGCCGCATCATCCACGCCCTTCTCTTTCAGCTGCTCTCGGTCGGCCTCGACACGTCGGACCGCGCAGTCACCGGCGCGTCGATCACGTTCCTTCTCCAGTCGTCGCCGGCCATCGGCCGCCTCCTCTCGTTTGTCATTGTCGACATCCTCGCCACCTGGGTCGCCCTCATCGCCACTGTCGCCTACAAGCTCCGGCATCCGGCCGCGTACTCACTTCGCGCCGCGTTTATTCCGCTCTGGATTGGCGTCCCGCTCTTTGTCGTCAGCTTTGCTCTCTGGATCATGGCTGTCTCCTACACCCTCGCCGCCCTCGACCGCTCCATCCAGGCCCAGCGCGCCGCCGCTGCTGACGCTGACGCCTCTGGCCCGCCCACCCTCTCCGTCCGCGCCCTGGAAGCGCTGGCGCCCGCGAGCCCCTACGAACTCCCGCTCACTGCTGACGCGCCCGACACCTGTGTCATCTGCCTCGAGGATCTGGTCGACGGCGAGCCCTCGCGCCGCCTGCCCTGCTCGCACGTCTTCCACGCAGACTGCATCGCCGAGTGGGTCGCTCGCAAGGCCGAATGCCCGACCTGCCGCGGCGCGCTCTCGCCACCCTCCGAGTCTGACGCCGAGTCTGAAGCCGAGTATGACGCCGATGTTGCTCGTGATGCCGGCGCTGACGACGCGCCCGGCGCTCAACACGATGTTCCTGTCGACACCGGCGCCGCAGGCGGTGCCGAGGGCAGCGACTCTCCTCAGGCCTCTCCTCAGCACGCCTCGCCGGCTCCTGCGCTCGCAAGCCTTGATCTCGGTCTCTCTTCCGACGACGACGTGCTGGCGCCGCTCTTGTAGCGGCCGCGCTTTAAAGCAGCTCTACTTTGCGGCCTCACCGTCAGCTCCCATCCACACCACCGGCACATCACCGGCCTCGGACGACGGCGGCAGCGCGTCGTCCGACATGGCCATGGCCGGGTCGGTCACCGAGTAGCCCTCGATGCGCAGTATTTTGTACGTCTTGTAGTGGGTGATGATGCGGACGACGTCGTCCCAGTCGATGACCCGGTCCGGGCGCTGGCCCTTGGGCGCAAACATGAGCTGGCGGCGGAGCGTACCAGACTCATCGTCGCGGACCTCGCGCCAGGCCGAGATGAGGCAGTAGTGATTCTTGGTGTGGAAGAGGAGCACGACTCGCGGCGTCGCCAGCGCGGTCTTGACTGCCTCCCATGCTGCATGATTGCGCTCCGGTGCCTCTCCGGTCTTGTCGAGCTCTTTGGTGTTGATGTACGTCCGCGCCGTCGTCCGCAGGTGGGTGTTCCCGTTGCGGACCTTGGTGTGCGCGGACTTGACCGCCCGGATAATCTTGTCGTTGCCGATGCACCACGTCGACATCTTTGCCTTGGTGTTGGCCTTGTTGCGGTAGAGCTTGCTCCCGCCCTTCTTCCCAAGCATGGCCTCGTACACGTCAAGCACGTCGCGGGTGCACAGTGCGAGACCGTGCGCCGGCTTGCCCAAGTGAGCCACAAGGCTCTGGCCGTGGGCAGCGTTCCACGCGCCCGCCACCGCCGCCGCCGCACACACTGATCCGCCTTGCTCCACCCACCCCGCCCACACTGGCTCATCCCTCACCCATCCCTCCGCCTCCATCAGCGCCTTTTGCGCAGCCTCGGACTCGGCCGCAAGCGCCATGGGCGCAAGACTCCCATTGCTCACATCCGCATCCGCCACAAAGCCATACGCCGCCGTCGCTCCAGCCGATCTTTCCTGACGTGCCACGCTTCCATCCGCCGCCGCCTTCTTCTTTGTCGTCCCACCGTCCCCATCCGCCTCATCCTCCCGCCGCCACCGCCAACTGGCCAGGGTCACCGCCGCCACCCCTGTCACGCCCAGCACGCCCACAGCCATCACCACCGCCAGCGGCAGGCGTACAACCACAGAACCTCCCAGTCGACGCATAAACGGTGTGGCCACAGAACGTAGAGCTGTGGTCCCGAGCCCAAGACCAAGCCCAAGACCAAGCCCAAGCCCAAGCCCAAGCCCAAAACCCAAGCCCTACCCCAAGCCCGAACGCAACCTGGCCGACTTGGCGCGCGCGCGCCCGCCCACCTCGCCGACTTGGCGCCAACCACCGACTTGGCACCAGCCGGCCAACCACTCGCTTGCCGGCCACTCGCTCGCCGACGACTGCCTGCCACGCCAGAGTACACCCCGCACCCACTCCACCCACTCCACCCACCACCACCACCACCACCACCACCACCACCACCACCACTGCCACTCTATCATGGCAGTACGCATGCTCTTCCCCATAGCCCCCCCCCCCTCCCCTCTACCCCCTGAACGCTCCGGCCCACCACCACCACTCACCTCCTTGCCCACAAGGGCTCTGCCAAGCCGAGACGAAGGAAGGGCGCCAAGTCGGTCAAGTCGGCCAAACATGCCAAGTTGGCAAAGCCGTCAAAGTCGGCAAAGCCGTCAAAGTCGCGGAAGAGAACGTCGTCGTCGTCTCACATGGACTCGTTTCGCTCGCCCTCGCCCGAGTCGGTGACGCAAGTGCGGTCGCACACAAAGCGGCGCAGACGGCGTAGGCGACGCAAGCGCTCGTCGCCCTCCTCGCTTCCCACGCCGCTTGTCTCGTCATCGTCGTCGTCGTCGCCATCATCGTCGTCGTCGTCGCTGGCAGTTGTGCCTCGGAGAGCCGGAAAGACCGGGCGCGGACTTCGGTCGGAATCGTCTGAGTCGTCAGCATCATCGCCGCTGGAATCTGAGCTGGCAACGTCGCTGGTCTCAAAGCTGGCGTCCGAGCTGGACTCGTCCAACTTGCTTTCATCGCTCTCGTCAGTAACGGTCTCGTCCGACACGTCGTCGACGATGCCCGAGTCCTCCGAGTCGGTCTTCTCTCAGCTGAGCGAGCAACTGCCGCCGAGTCACACCGCCCAAGTCTATGCCCACGTCAACGACGAGTTTGCCAGCAATCGCTCCCGCTACGACATTCCGGGCTACCAGCTGCGGTGGTCGTCGTCGTCGCGGTACAAGATCCTGTGGGACAAGAAGGTCGGGTCTGGCGGCTTTGGCGACGTGTACCTTGCCAAGGACCGCGAGACCGGGAAGAGACTGGTCATCAAGACTATCAAGCCCGAGAAGGAGAACCCGTACTTGGTCAAGAACGAAATCCGCATGCTCCGCCTCCTCCGCAAGGGCTACCACATCATCGACCTCCGCGACACGTTTGTCGACCCGGTCCGCAAGGTCAAGGCCCTCGTCTTTGACTATGTGGAGAACCCTGACTACCGCCACTCGTTCAAGACCTTTGACGACCTCGACGCGCGCTCCTACCTCTACCAGGCCCTACTCGCTCTCGACTACACCCACTCGCGCGGCATCATCCACCGCGACGTCAAAGCCCGCAACATCCTGTACAACCCGGCGACGTCAATGTTCCGGCTCATCGACTGGGGTTTTGGCGCCTTTTACATCCGTGGCCGCAAGTTCCGCAAGTGGCCCGGCACCCGGCCCTACCGTGCGCCAGAAATGTTCCACCACTACAAGTACTACGACTACGCCGTCGATATGTGGGCCTTTGGCTGTGTCATGGGCTCGCTCCTCTTTGCCCGCTACCCGCTCTTCCACGCCCGCCACTACGAAGACCGCGACGCTGCAAACGTCGCCCAGCTGGCCGTCATCGTCAAGTTCCTCGGCATGCACGACTACCGCAAGTTCCGCGCCCGCTACGGCTTTGACAACGACGAAAAGTACTCGCCCGCGGCTCTCATTGCCTACGAGCCCGGCATCAAGCCCACGCGACGCCGCTTCTCCAAGCTTGCCTCGTCGGGCAACCGCCACCTCGCCGTCCCGGACGCCATCGACCTCCTCTCTTCCATCCTCGTCTACGATCCCGAGCACCGCTTCACCGCCGCTGACGCGCTCGCCCATCCCTACTTTGACCCGGTCCGCGCAAAGTGGGACGCCGTCGTCGCCAAGCACAATTCCAAGGTCGCCGACGTCGAGACCCTCACGGCCTCAGAGGACTCGGACTCGCATCTCGCCATCCGCCCGCTCTCGCTCTCGCACCGCGCACCCTCGGCCGAGCCCGAGCTCGACCCGACCGTCAAGGCATTCCTCAAGGAGGCCCAGGCCCCGCCGCCGCCGCCGGCCGCCTCGCGCAGCAGCCACCCGCGCTCGCAGACATCGACCACCCGTCGCCGCCGCCGCCGCCGCCGCCATACCCACAAGCCAACCGGCCATCACCGTGCTCGCTCACGCTCGCGCGATCGCGAGCAGGAACGTGAACGGTCGCGCTCCCGCTCCCGCTCCCGCATCGGCCGCCTCCCGCCTCCCACCGACCTCCTGCCGCCTGCCTCATCTAAGCGTGCACGCTCGCTGAAGAGCTCGCGCAAGGGCGAGTCGCGCGCCTCTCGCCCGGCCTCACCGCTCCGCTACCGCTTCCCCTCGCCGTCACCGTACACGCCCGGCGCGCCTGTCGATGCCCGCCGCCACTCACGCGGGCGCGATCGTTCGCGCTCCGGCTCGCGCTCGCCGTCGCCCGGCTGGCTCCACCCGCCGCACGCTCCGGGCCCATCCGCCGCTTGGGCACCGCCGCATCCGCGCCGGGTCGTCCGCCAGGTCCAGGACCAGCGCCCGCGACACTTTGTCCCACTCGAACCGTATGCCGAGCGCTCGAGCCTTGCCAACTACCGCCCGCTCACTGCGCTTGACGGCCGCCTCGCCGACCGCCAGCCGCCTCCGCCGCACATGCCGATGCGCTCGCTCTCGCGCGGCGCCGTTCCGCTTTACTCCTAATCGCTCCACTCGCTCTTGTCACCAGCCCATCGCTCGCCCACATGCACGCAGATCGGTCTGCGCCCGCTCCCGCGCAAGCGACGCTCTCATCATCGCAACTATAAACTGCCCAGCAGTGCCCAGCAGTGCCCAGTCGCTTCAGGGAGCTTCTGCATGCCTCGTGCAGTTCCTTTTCCCTGTCGGTCTGGAAAACTCCAGATCAATCGTCGCGCAAAGACTTTGCCTCAGCTGCCGTCTCATACACCCCAAAGCACGATCATCGCGTCCATCGGCGCCCCTATAACGATACAACCCTCTCCACCTCCACATCGCTACCCATGCTCAACTCCATGCTCAACTCCATGCTCGTGCCTGTGCACACCATGTAAGCATGCATGCGCGCGCGAACAAGGTAGCGCAGATGGGCATGGTGGCAGCCAGATCCCGTCCACCACCACCCACCACTACCTACCACTACCCACCACTACCTACCACTACCTACCACCACCCTCACCACTACCACCCTCACCACTGCCACCCTCACCACTACCATCACTTTGATCGCAACACATCCACCCCCCCCCCCCCCCCCCCTTTACCGCCGGTCACTCACCCGCCACAGCCACCGCAATCGCCACTCATTGGCACCACCTCACCACCCCCACTTCCCCCACTCCCCCACCCACCCCCCCACCCCCCACCCCCCACCCCCACCCCCATGTCGCTCTCCATACGGCCTCCCTCCACCTCGCCGTTCCTCACCGTCTCCCTCCGTGAGGTCCGGCTGGACAAGCAGCTCGGCTCCGGGGCCTTTGGCGCAGTCCACCGTGGGCGATACATGGACAGACCGGTGGCGGTCAAGACCTTCCACAGAAGAAGCAGAGCAGGGGACGGCGATGGCGATGGCGATGGCGATGGCGATGATGAGGCTCAGCTGGCGACGGCAAGGGCGTTTGTGGCAGAGGTGGCGGCCATTTCCCAGGTCTCGGCTCATCCAAACTGCACAGGCTTTGTGGCGGCGGCGCTCGATCTGCCCGACCTTGCCATTGTTATGGAGTATGTTGATGGAGGCCCACTCAAGACAAAGATGTTCTCGCCGCATCCTGCGGAACGGTTTGCTTCCGACTCGGCGCGGGTGAATGCGCTGCTCGACGTTGCCCGCGGCATGGCGTACTTGCACGCTCGCGGCATGCTGCACCGCGATCTCAAGCCCGACAACATCCTCATCGAGGCAGCCACCCAGACGGCTAAGATTGCCGACTTTGGCCTCTCGGCTTTTGCGCTGCCTCACGACGAGCACAACGCCGTTACCGGCGGAACCCGCGCATACATGGCGCCCGAGGTCCTCGCCGGCCGCGAGCAGGATCCCCCGGCAGACGTCTTTTCCTTTGGGGTCGTGGCACACGAGGTCATCACCGGCATCCGCGCCTGGCCAAACGGCCGCGACAACGAGTACGCCACACTGCCACGCATCGACAGCAGCGCCTGGCCGGCGCCCCTTGTCGACCTTGTCGCTGCCTGCCTCGAGCGCGAGCCAGCTGCCCGCCCGCGGTTTCCGGACATTGTGGCCGCTCTCGAGGACATTCTTCGCATGGTCCGCTTCACCGAAGCCATCACTCATCACGACCTTTTCACGCTCCAGCTTATCCTCAACGCGTGGCCAGGTGACGACCAGGTGACGCTGGCGTCGCTAACCGACGCTGCGTCTGCGACGCTCCTCCACGCTGCCGTAGCCATCGGCTCACGCCCGCTGGTTGCTCGCGGCCTTGCGCTCGGCGTCCCGGTGGCGGCCAAGACCAGCACCGGCGCTACACCAGCCGACCTCATCCATGACGACTTTGAAGGCATCCTCGACCCGCCACTGCCCGACGGCGCCGCTTTGCCCTGCTCCGCGTCCTGTGGTCCGGCCTGCCCGACACCAGCCCGCCTCGGGTCATCCTAGCCAAGTCCAAGAACATGCCCAAGGACCCCCGCGCGGTCCTCCCGCCCAACGTGTACTCGGTCGAGTGCGGCATCCTGTTTCTAGGTGGCGATCGCGTCGGCGTCGTCCTCCGCGTCCTTCCCGTCAAGCGCTCCAAGAAGCACTTCACCATCCGCCTGGAGTCAGGCCGCGAACTCCCGTTCACCGCCCCACCGTCAAGCGGTGCAAGGCGTGGGTTGCCGCCATCGAGCGCCATGTCTCCGGTACCCGCACGCTACTCGGCTCGTCGCGCCGCTCGGTCCATGATGCCGCGGACCCGCGCGATGCACTCACAGGCATCGCTGCCGACGCCGCGACCCCAGGCACGCCGGTCAACGCCTCAACGGCAGCACCATCGTTCTCTGACGCCCTCCCCGACGCGCTGCGGACGGCCAAGCTCCCGGGCCGTGGCCGGCGCGCTTTGTCAGACTCTGATGACGATGCCGAGGGAGGCACGGTTCTGCTCCCGGTCGAGCATCCGGATGGAGAGTCAGAGTCGGACGAAGGCGGGGGACCAAGCCGGCCGCAGCTCGAGTCGGATCCCGCTTGCGCCGAGCCCGAGCCCGAGCCCGAGCCCGAGCCCGAGCCGGGACTCGCAAACGCGGACGCGGCGGCCACCCGCACCGCGCATGCGCTCCAGACCACCGCCACCCTCAACGCCGACGGCCAGCTCGAGTACGCAGTCTCACTCCTCGACCCAGATGCGACCGTCACGCTCACACTCGGTGGCGCTAGCGCGTCGCTGGCCTCGACCGACGACACCTCGCCGGTTGTCGTTATTCCTGCCTCCCAACTCAACCTCATTCCTTTGTCTGCCCTCACCTTTCCACCCGAGCTCGAAACCGATGTCGAAGAGGCGTCGCAGCTCGAGACCAACGCGTCCAAGCCGGCCCGCTACCTATCGGCCGATGTCTTTGTGCGACGACTCGCACTATCGGGCGAGCTCGCAGCTTCGCAGACGGTCAGCCGCGACGGCGTTGTTGCGCTCACCACCCAGCTCACCGCCCTTGTCTCGGCCACCACACACATGTCTGTTGTCTCTTACATTGGCGTTGTGCTTGAGGACTACCCTTCGTCGCTCATCCTTGTCTCGCAGCTGGTCCGCTCGCACCTCTCGCTCGAGGATCTTGTCTACGCACCGTCGTTCCGTGACATGGGCGTCATTCAAGTGCTCAAGGTCCTTCGCGACGCCGCCGCTGGCCTGGCCTTTCTGCACTCGGCCGGCGTGGCGCACGGCAACCTTAAGCCATCAAATGTGCTCATCGACACCGACTACACGGCGTTGCTTGCCGAGCCGGGCGTGGCCAATCTGATGAACGTGCTCGACGCACCGCTCGTTGTCTCGAGCCTCTACGGCGCACCCGAGCTGCTCAAGTATGGCGAGCTGGGCAATGCTCGAGCCCGGACGCCAGCCGCCGACGTGTGGTCGTTTGCCACCCTGGTCTGGTTCGCCTTTGACGCCTCTTTCTCGGGCTACCTCCGCCAGCCGTACCGCGGCCAGCGACCGGCCAACCTCCGCGAGTCGCCGGGCAACGTCGTGCCGCTGAGGCCCGAGGTGCCCGGCGAACTGGCCAGCCTGGTCCGCGCCGGATGGTCGGCCAACCCGCACGCCCGCCCGACCGCCGCCCAGTTTCATGCTGTCCTCGACCGGCTTGTCTTCGAAGCGCCGCTCGATCCGGACCGCGCCGCCGTCGCCGCCGAGCGGGACATTGCGCTCAACGCCCTGCTCACCCACACCCGCGCCACGGTTGCCCGGCTCCGCAGCGAATCCGCGTCGGCACACGTTCAGCTCACCACGCTCAGCGAGCTTGACGCACTCTTTGACAAGCAGGCGCGGTACGGGCTGGAGCACTCGCGCGCGCTCGTCCTCATCATGACTGACGAGCTCGTCCGGGTCGTCCACAACCACTTCCAGAACCCGGGCGTGGTCCGGCTCGGCCTCCGCATGCTCCTCCGCTTCACCCGCGGCGAGCTCGCCGTCACCCACATCCGGCAGTCGAAGGTTGTGCTGGTCAAGCTCAAGCAGATGCTCAAGCACCACACAGTGGCGCCAACCGAGCTCGCGCTCGCGCTCGCGGTCCTGGCTGACTTTTGCGCCAACGCCCGCAACCGAGTCGTTGTCCTCAACTCGGGCCTCCTCCGACTGACCATACTCCGACTCGCCTCGGTTGCCGACGGCTCGCTCGAGGCCGCGCCGCAGTCGGGCATCGGCCTTTACATCCCGCTGCTGTTTTTCACGGACTCGGCGTCCTACGCAAGTGCGCGCTCTCGCCACCGCTCTACAACGTGCTCCTCGCCGACACCACCGCCTTTAAGCTCCTCTTTCGCCTCCTCAACAAGTACGCCGACCATGCCCAGATCGTCGCCCAGGCGCTCTCCGTCATCCTCGAGCTCGTCTCGGCGCCGCGCGGGCGGTCGATGTTTATGGAAATGTCGCGCGGCATGGGCCTCATTCTCACCACCCTCGCTAGCGCGGCGACCCGCGCATCGGCTTATACCCCGATCCTCACCGTAGGTGTCGGCATCCTACGCAACGTCACCTCATCGGACGTCTTCCGCGCTCCGGTCTACGTAGCGCTGCCGTCACCTGACCTGCTTGTCGCTGCCATGCGCATCTACGAGCGCGCTGCCGCCTCGCTCGACGGCGTGGAGCTAGAGCGGCTCACCGACGACAATGGCGGTGACGGCGGCGAGAGCAGCAGTGATCTCCCGCACGCGCTCGCAGTCCTCTTCGCCGCCCGACGCGCCACCGTGGTGCAGTTCCAGGCCCGCCAGCGGCTGGACTCGGACACCCGGATGCTCGACGACCTGCCCGCCGCCGCACAGGCGCGCACTGCCTTTGTCTCGCAAGTCACCAGCGACGTGTCGGCCGGCATGGCACGGCTTATTGCGCTGCTGCGCAACCTAGCGCTCGCGTCGGATGCCAGTCTGCTGCCCGCCCTGACGGGACTCCCGGACTTACTGCCAGGCCTTGTCCGCATCCTCGACGCGCCGCAGGTATGGTCGGAAAAAGTCAACGTCGAGCTCGCGGCCATGCTCCGGGCCTTTGCTTCGGGCCCGGACGAGGTCCAGGACGCGCTTCTAGAAGCCGGCGTTCCGGAGCGGATCGGGGCACTGATGGCGGCCTTTCCCACCGTGGCGCCGCTCCTCCTTCACTGCCTGCTTGCGCTCAAGCGACTGGTCACCCATCCGCCGACGCTTGTTGCGCTCAAGGCGTCGGGCGCCGCAGCGATTGTTGCCACAGTCACCCGCGAGTTCCAGCCGAATGTCCAGATCCACTCGGTCGGGACGCATGTGCTCGACGCTCTCGGCGAAGCGCCAGCGGCGACCCGTCCGCGACGCGGGCTCTCTGCACCACCACCGCCTGGGCCGCTGCTCAATCGCTCGCGCTCGGCGACTGGCGCCTCCCGCCCCACCCCCGGGCCGACTGGCCTCCCGCGGCGGCGCAAGTCGACTCGTCCACAGCCGCCACTCCCGCCCACCCCATCGTCTGCCCCGTCGCCTCACCCCACCGCCACCACCAACAGCGGCGGGTGCTGTGGCTCGCGCCCCGAGCCTGCGCCTCCTGCCCCCGCTCCTACCGCTGCCCACACCCGCGATGATGACCCGCGTCTCTAATAGCCCCCTCCCCCCCCCACCCCCCCCCCCCCTCGTTCTGGATCCAATTGATCTCCAGTACACTCTCCGTCCTCTAGCAGCCAGCAGCCCGACTGTGGCGACCGGTCTCACCGTCTCCCCCCACAAGAGGCGACCAATCTACCTCACCAACACAAACCACGCCTGACTCTTTTCCCGTGCTGACGGCGAGGCGACCACCCGCACCGTCCACCCCTAGCCAGCCCCCACCTAGCCCACCAGGCGCAGAACGCGCAATACCGGGGCGACTACAGTGTGTTGTTCTAGGTATGTGTGTGGTTGATGGGGATGGGGGAGGGGGGGGGCAGTGGAGCAGTGGGGCTGAAGGGGGGGGGAGCGCAATGCGACATGCGGAGAAAGGGGGAGGGGGGAGGGGGAGGGGAGGGGAGGGGAGGGGGAGGGGGATGAGGGGACGGGGAGGGGGAGGGGGAGGGGACTGACCGACTGATATGGGTATGTGTGTGGTTGGTCTGGTGCTTGTGCTGTGCTGGTGCTTGTGCTGTGCTGGTGCTGGGCTGGTGTGCGGCTGGGCTGGTGTGCGGCTGGGCTGGTGTGCTGGTGGACGGCTGGGCTTGGGCGACTTGGACGGCTGGGCTTGGGCGACTTGGGCGGCTGTGGCTAGGCTAACAGATCACCATGGCTCATCTCAATCCTCATCGCAAAGACCTCAAGAGACGGAACAAGGACATTGATCTCGACAACTTTCGGTCGGAGAAGCGGTTCATCTCACAGCAGATCGCCAACGAGATCCTGGATCTCAAGCTGGCCACCGGGGAAGACGTCGAGAACTCGCTGTGGGTCTCGTCGTATGCATCGACGGCCGCTAGAGCCGAGGCTGGCGCAGCGAGCTCAAGCCGCACTCCACCGCCGTTGCGGCAGAGCTTTCCACGGCCGGCGCCAGCGTCGACATCGGCGTCGACAGGGCGGGCGAGCGTCTCGGCAGCGAGCTCCGTGAGTGCACTGAGCCCGCACTCACCGCATGTGCGGGACGAGAGCCTGGAGCGGGCAAAGCGGCGGCTGACGCCGCAGCACGGCCGGTTTGCTCCGCGCTCGCACTCGTATTCGCCTGGCCCACCGTCGCAGCGGCGATTCGAGCTGGCCGCCCCGTCGTTTACCTACCGCAATCCCTCGCGCGAGACGACGCCGCTGACAGCGGCGCTCACCCGCTCGCTCGGCCACGCCCGCGAGACGACGCCGGTGTGGAAGGCGCCGCCGCGGTCACCGGGCGAGCGGCGGTCGCCGC